AATATAGATGCAAGAATATGTACAGTATGTTTGAGAAAAATATGGACTAGTATTTGGAGCATTCCCCAATTTTTTCCATTCTGCAACTGGACCATTTGACACTCCTGTATCTATGCTTTGACTCTGATTTTTAGCTCTATCCAAATTCCCTTCTCTCTTACAGCAAATTCTACAAAATCAATCAAATCTCTCTCTAACATTTTCTCTGAATGTTTCCCATGCAAAAAGTTATTTGATGTCCCTTCTGGACATTGTGAGAGTTTATTTTTATATTTCTCTTTTGTCATTGTTTCCTTTCTACCATGACTTACACTATTCTGTGCTTTTATAGACTCTCCCACTTGATCTGGACTCCACATACTTTTACAGCATAGGAACTCAACAGATGTTACAATTTTGTTGAACATGAAATATCTGAACTTTGGTATGAAGTGAGGAATAAAATTCACCTTTTCATAAAATATCTCTTTAGGATGATAAATAGGTTAATCACTTTCATAGAATACTGATCCGTAATATTGTGGTGTATAGACACTGAAGTAGAGAAATCTTTCATTCATTCATATATACTTTCATTCAATAAATAGTCATAAAGAGATTACTATGTATCCACCACTTTTAGGCCCAGGACTCAAGTGATACCAAGGACTGCATTGTATGCTCTCAAAATTTCTATGTTGAAACCTTAACCCCACAATGTGACTATATTTGTAGTAAGGAAATAATTAAGGGGAAATGGGATCACAAGGGTAGGATCCTGACCCAACAGGATTAGTGTCCTTATAAGAGGAGACACCAGAGAGGTGACTCTGTCTCTTTACCTTGTGGTGGCACAGGGAGACAGCAGCTATCTGCAAGCCAAGAAGAAAGCGTTCACCGGGAACTGTATCAACTGGCACCCTGAACTTGAATTTCCCAGCCTCCAGAACTATGAGAGAATAAATTTCTGTTTTTGAAGCCACACAGTCTATGGTATTTTATTAGAGCAGCCTGAGCAGACTAATACAAGTGGTAAGCAAGAAAAAGTCCTATACACATTCTAGTGGGAGAAACTAGTGTGAATGTTATTAGAATGAATTTTGTATGAGTGCCAATTCCCTAACTTAAGTCCTTAGTAAAAGTGGTGAAGGAATGAATCAACTGAAAGAAATATTAAAAGTTTATAGGTAGCTCAGAAAAGAAAAATAAGGTAGTTAACTTGAAAGAAGAGAAAAGTATCAGAGCACTTCTTGAAAAAGGTATGAACGAAGAGATGACTCTAACATTTGAAGAGGTCTGGGAACCATTGCCTATTATGAGAAGATGAAATTGGGAGTATAATTAAATAATTTTTGGTCACGTGTTAAGTTAGGGAGAAATATAAAGGGTCTGTCCTGTGCTCCCTAGGAAGAGTTTCCCCAAAGGTTGAAGGGAATGAAGAAACGAAGGAAGGCTGCTTTAGGATCATTGAAATGGTTTGTCTGATCCTGGTCTCTGACTTCTGGAAGAACAGTTGCTTTATTGCAAGGCAAAGCAAAGGTCTCAACACTCAAGAACAGTAGAGGAGACGGTAGAGAAACTAATTTTCAGACAATAGCACGTATGTGTGTGCTGATGGGGTTTTAGAAGTATTACTCGGAGAGTAGCAGCAACTCTGTGTAATCTGAAAAGCTAGATAGACCTACTATTATTCAGGACCTTCATCCTATATTCAGGATACTATGTCCAAGAGAAGTAAAATTTACAATTATTTCAAAATTTAAGAATGGTTAGCATCTATGTAGTAGATTCTGTTTGGTCATTTGGTAGCATGGAGAGCTAAGAGGGCAGATGGTATACAAATAGAACATGATAAATGTAACCTTAACTTTAGTAATTATTAGCCTAAGGATCCATGCAATTATCATAATAGTAGGAAGAGCTAACATTTGTTGCACTTTCACTGTTTGTCAGATCCTGTGTTCTACATAAATGATCTCAACTAATTCATTCCTTTGGAGTGTCCATGTGATATTTGTCTTTTCAGCATTTGCTGAGAAAACAACATAGAGTGTTTCATAAACAAATTGTGAATGATTCTATTTAAATGAAAAAGGATATTCACTCATGGAAAGACTCAGACTTTGTTATTGGCTCTCTATTCTTCAATAGGTCTATCATTTACTTAAATAAAGGCAAAATTAGCACAATCATCAGAGTTTTAATTGGCATAGATCTGGGTGGAAGAGGTAATGCAGTAATCAAAGAGTGGTCTTTAAGATGGTCTACCTAGCTCATAATGATGAGTTTAAACAAATAGGTACAAAATTAAATATATTTTTATTATCATATGTTTTATCATTCTTCTTACTTGGAGGGTAAATGCATAATTATTTCATGTATTTTGTCACTTTCCACACACAAAGATGTTAATTTAGCAGTTTTAACTGAGGAACAAAGAGATCATAGAGATAATATTTATAGAACTCTAAGCTGGGCTATCACACTAAGATGAATATTTTGAAGAAAAAAAAATCTGGTTACATAATTCTTAATTCATTATCTACACTCAGACTATTAAAGAATTATGTCATCCATGATTAAAAGAGATTTGAAAGATATGTTTTGGAGATAGCTATTGGCGGAGAAGGCAATGGCACCCCACTCCAGTACTCTTGCCTGGAGAATCCCAGGGACGGGGGAGCCTGGTGGGCTGCCGTCCATGGGGTCGCACAGAGTCGGACACGACTGAAGCGACTTAGCAGCAGCAGCAGCGACAGTATTGGCAAATTATTGTGAGTCAAATGACTCCCAGTGTAAAGAATAATGGATGCCTGACCCTTATCTCAAGATTAGTGAGATAACCTTCAAGAGAACTGTGTGGAGAACTTGGCATGTATGTCCTGAAGTTGGGATGATGAAGAGAATGCTTTTAACTCCTGCAATTAAAAGGGAAGAGGTGGGATGACTAGCCCTTTAAAATGTGAGCAAAGAAGGGATAAATGAATTGGGCTCAGCTTATATTTCCCAATTTCCCAGAGGTGAGGTATGGGCCACTGAGTAAGGCAGGTAGCTTTAGGTTTTCTTGGACCATGTCCGAGAGGGCTGCCCGTGGGCCAGAAACCTCAACAAAGAGAAGTCATGGTTATCAGAAGATTCTTTGGGGCTGCTAAATAAGTAAGCAGCAAGATAGAGGAAAATGCAAGATCTGTATCAAGAGGAAAAAAATATGACAGATCCCAAGGGGACTGAACCTCTGAAGAAACCATACGTGATAAATTGCTTCAAAAACATTTGACAATTTGTCACAAGTCCCTATAACCACACCCTTGGGTAGTCCTTTCTCATGTGGACTCTGCGCTTGGTCACATGATTTGTTTTTGCCAATGGAATAAAAACAAAAATGACACAGGCAGCAATTTGAAAACTTCTGCGCATCAGGGATAGCCTTCTCTTTTCAGGTTCTTTGTACTCTGCCATGTCAAGAAGCCATATTACCTTCTTGAAAGATGTGACGTTAAACACAGCCAAGCCTGCTGTCCCAGGCTATACTAAACCTACCTCCAAACATATGAGTAAGGCCTTCTGAGACCATCCAGTCCCAGTGTAGCCATGACCTGATTTATGAGCCAACCCAATCAAGAGAAGAAAAGCCCAGCCCACTCAGTAGAAGTACACAGCTGACCTGTAGACATGAAATATAATAAAAAGCTGCTGTTTTAAAATACCAAGTGTTGGGACAATTTGCTCACAGGGAAAGTTAATTGATAAACCATAAAAGTCCCATCTGAAATAAAGGAAGCTTTAAATATTAGCCCGGTCTAAACAGCTTAGTGTCAGCTCATGGCAGAAGCAGTGATTCAAGAATTTTGTGCTGCCTCCTTATCATTCTTGACTATCTTCACTTTTCATTCCAGACAGTTCAGAAACATCAAAAGTGAGCTGAGAGGGAGAAGGAGAGAAGGAGCAGCCCCCTCCACGAGTAGCCCCCTCCAAATGCATGCCTGGATGCTGGAGGGAATTAAGAATTAGCTTTAAACACATCAAATAGTTAGAGTTTTGAGTACTATATAGGACTGAACAAAATAAAACTTACTGTTCAGCAGCTCTCAGTGAGGATGAAGAAATTAGGTGTTATTTGAAAAAGGCATGAAACAGCTTGAGTTTTCATCCAGGAGCAAAGAAAAAAGCTTCTTCAATACATTTCAAGAAATACTTTTTTTCTACCCAGTGAAAGCTCTTTTCCTGATATCCTGATTATTTACAGATCAATTAGACATCTGGCAATTTTTTAGTAGCCATATATGTGTGTGTGTGTGTGTGTGTGTGTGTGTATTTGAGGTTTAGTTATAAAACTCTAAATACCAATATCATTAAGGATTCTTGGGAAATGTATGGTTTTGAAGATAATTTATAAGCTATAGTTTCTTTAGTATTCTGTTTTGAAATATACATACCTGCCATGGAATCAGTGAACCTCGAAAAGCTTCCTTCCTTTGTAGATTCACTGCTTTACCTTAAAACAGAGTGACAACTTAAATGTCCTTAATGGTATTATGCTTCATTGGTTCTGGAAACAGATGAGCCTTAGTAACACTAATCCTTTTCCACATGGCATAATTATAAAATGGATGGAGTCTTACTCACATTTTCGATGTGAAATTTAGACACAATTAGCAAGGTAAAGAATAAGGTATTTCACATTTTGTATGTTACACTATGTTACACTGTGAATTCTATATCAGGATATACTTTATTTTTACCCTATTATTCTCTACTCAAGGAAAAAATGAGCACTGTTCACAAATGTATTTGGTTATTAACAACTGAAAAAACAATAATCACAGAGCTGAGCTTCATTTCCTGTGTATATAGCACACCTAGTATGGAATCTTGATTTATGTGGAAGCTTTCTTTATTTGAAGAACTACAAGGATCGTCTTTTCCCAACATTTATAACCTGATGGAATTATCTGAAATATAAAAATATCTTGCTCTCTAAAAAATAAAATAATTTTGTCCTCACCTGTGATGAGGTTAGATGTTGCCATTTTTACTGTTAAAAGGAAAACCTGAAGTCAGATGTGTTTTGAATGAATTCTTGATTCACAATGGAAGTTGCTCACAGCTAAAATGAAATATGTGATACATTCACTACTGTTTGTTCTCTCAGATTTCTAAATACAAAGACAAAAAGGACAGAAAACACTTTGTGTTTGGTATAACCTTGAGAATCAATCCTAACAGTTAAATGTCAAATTGCTGTGTTACTTGCTCTTATTATCTTCCAACTATTCCACATTCTTTTAATTGATTCGATGTTGTAAAGATAAATGCCTTGGGTTACATGTAACACAGAATACAGCACAACATAATGTAATTTCATATATAATCTTCTGTAATTGCTTATTACACATGGCTGTACACGAAAGATAGAAACAATAATAGAATAAGCGAAAAATATTTAGGGCAAACCTTATTACTGAAATTATATTGTGAAAGATCCTGAGATAGTTTTTGATCTACCGTGTCCAGATGTAAGCAATGAGATTATCAAATTTCCCAGATTTCCCTGGTTTTACATTAGACACAGTAGGGGATAACTGGCAAAGGGGCTCACCTTCCCAGTAGTTAGAAGGAATTCTGGGCATTTTAAGAAGGCAGACAACTAATTCATAGTGAAAGTTGATACATAAGGAGTAAGACATCATTAAATTGCCTGAAGACCCGCCACTGTATGATAAAAACAAAGTATCAAAATTGACCTTGCTATCAATATGAGACTGGACAAAACCTTAGGCATGAAATGGATGTCAGCTCTTTGAGATGCAAACAAGTACATAGGTAGCTTAACATCATTTGCTGTTGTTGTTGTTTACTCAGTAAATCATGTCTGACTCTTTTTTGACCCCATGGACTATAGCAGGAGGCTTCCCTGGTGACTCAGCGGTAAAGAATTCGTCTGCAATGCAGGAGACACAGGAGACGTGGGTTTGATCCCCAGGTCAGGAAGATCCCTCAGAGGAGAGCATGGCAACCCACACAAGTATTCTAGCCTGGAGAATCCCATGGAAAGAGGAGCCTAGTGGCCTATGGTCCATGGGGTTGCAAAGCGTCTGACACGACTGAAGCAAATAAGCACACATGCATGGACTGCAGCCTTCCAGGCTCCTCTGTCCAAGAACTTCCTTCTCCAGGGGATCTTCCCAACCCAGGGATCAAACCCATCATCTCCTGCATTGGCAGGAGGATTCTTTACTCCTGATCCAACAGGGAAGACTTAACATCATTTAGCCAGGACCAAATTTTGATGGAAAAAGGGTGATAAAACACATTCATTTAGGTTGAACATAAATTTTTATTAATTATCAATGTTCAACAAAATATACAATTTCAAAAGCATGTAATGCCTTACTAATTTTTCGCTATTATTGCTCTCATTACATTGCCAACCTCTGAAGATTCTCTATTCTGCAGATACAGCTTAGTAATAATCTAACTCTTCTAAGTTGACAAATAATCAGAGTTTGACTAGAGAAATTAAGAGACTCATACAAAACTAATTCTATGATGAGTTCATAACTACATGGTAACTACTATGATGAGCTCTGTGTTACTACAGAATCGAGGATTTTGTCCCTATCCAAGGCTGTCAAATGTTTCCTAATGGTAAAACGGTTGGAGGGCATGAATCCAAGGACTGCAAGGGTATGATCTGAATAACATTTCTATGAATGTGAACTTTTAAATTTCTAGTTACAATAAGACAGATTAAAGTTTCTTTAATTGTAACCCACACTGTATTTATTTAAATACAAATTTAAATAAAATTTGTATTATAAATTCCCTTGAAAAAACGCTCACACACACATAAACAATTTCCTATCTGTTTTAACTGATTAAGTGGTGTTGCAATCAAATTATCAAGATCAGAAAATGAATGTACAACTCGCTCGGTCATGTCCGACTTTGTGATTCCATGAACCGTAGCCCACCAGGCTTCTCTGTCCATGGAATTCTCTAGGTAAGAATACTGGAGTGGGTTGCCATTCCCTTCTCCAGGGGATCTTCCTGACCCAGGGATCAAACCCAGGTCTCCCGCACTGCAGGCAGATTGTTTACCATCTGAGTACTGGAGAACACTGAGTTAAACTGGCAGGAGTTGATAACTGAATTCTTTTAAAAAAAATATTTGTAACTTTAGTGAGATATAACTGATATATAATAAGTTTAAGGTGTACAATATGATTATTTGAAACACATTATATTGTGAAGTGATTGCCACAATATGGTTAAATAACACATTTATCAGTCTACATAGTTGCCTTCTTTCTATTTGCCAGTGAGAACATTTAAGATCTGCTCTCTTAGGGACCTTCAAGGATAAAATGTAACTGTTAACTTTAATCATCATGCTATACATTAAATCCCCAGAGTTTATATATCTTATAGCTGAAAGGTTTTACAGTTTGACCACCTACTCTCATTTGTATTTGGCAACCAAAATTCTACATTATGATTCTATGAATTTTGATTGTTTTAGATTCTACATATAAGTGAGATCTAACAGTATTTGTCTTTGTTAGTCTGACACTTCACTTAGAATGATGCCTCAGCTTTCATCCTTGTCATGAAAAATGGCAAGATTTTCTTCTTTTTTTATAACTGAATAATACATCAATATGTGTGTGTGTATAAAAGTGCCCATATATTCATTTTATATGAATCTGTATTCATTTGTTTACCATAGGCACTTAGGTTGCTTCCATATATTGGCAATCATAAATAATGCTGGGATAATCCTTGGTGGCTCAGCAGTAGAGTCCATCTGCCAATGTAGGAGACATGGCAGCCCACTCCAGTATTCTTGCCTGGGCAATCCCACGGACAGAGGAGCTTGGTGGGCTACAGTCCATGGGGTCGCAAAAAAGTCAGACAAGACATCTAAATAACAACAAACACTGAAGTGCAGGTATCTCTTTGATATCATATTTTTTTCCTATGGATATATACCCAGAAGTGGGATTATTGGATAATATGATAGCTCTATCTTTAATTTTTGAGGAACTTCCATACTTTTATCCATAGTGTCTGTACCAATAAACATTTGCTACAACAGTTCACAAGGGTTCCCTTTTGTCCACATCCTCACCAAACTTTTATCTTTTTGATTCGAGTCATTTTAACAGATGTGAAAAGGTATCTGTAAGTCATTTGTACATCTTATTTGGAAAAATGCCTATTAAGGTCATTTTCCCATTTTTAATTGGGTTATTTCATTCCTTTGCATGGTAATACCCAGCTGTCTAACGTTCACATTTTGAAGAGACTATCTTTTCTCAATTGAGTATTCTTGGCTCCCATGTCAAATATTAGTTGGCTGTATATGCATGAGTTTATTTCTAGGCTCTCAATTGTGTTCCATTAGTCTGTGTCTTTTTTAATGCACATATCTTTTCCCATCCTTTACGCTCAGCCTATATGGCCTAGATGCAAAAGCAAGTTTCTTATAGGCAGCATATCACTGAATGTTGATTTTCTTTTAGTCCATTCAAGGTTTTAATGTTTTTATTAGATAATTTAATTTTTTTTAAGCAACAGTGATAGATAAGGACTTACTGTTGCCATGTGACTCACAGTTTTAAGACTATTTCAAATAATCTGCCTTTGAAATAATTTATTCGTCTGCCTGGCTGAGCCTATTGTTAAAGCTCTTTAGTAAATTTTTCAATTTAGTCATTGTATTTTTCAGCTCTAGGAATTCTGTTTGAATTTCTGAATGAACTCTAATTTTTTTTTATCGAGCTTATTTTCTTTTTGTGTTATTTTCCAAATTTTGTTCAGTTTTCTCTCTGTGTGTTCTTATAGTTCACTAAACTTTAAAAGTATTATTCTGAAATCTGTCAGACAGTTCATAAATATCCATATCTTCAGGGTCAGTTATTAGAATTTTATTATCCACTTTGGTGGTTTCATGTTTATGTGATTTTGTGTGATCCTTGTATCCTTGTGCTAGATCTACACAGTAAGTGATCTCTTCTTCAGACTCGCAGTCCTGAATTCCAAGTTTGTTGTTGTTAGTTGCTAAGCCATGACTGACTCTTTTGCTACCACATGGACTGTAGCCTGCCAGGCTCCTTTGTCCATGGAATCTTCCAGTCAAGAATGGTTAACTGGGTTGCTATTTCTTTCTCCAAGGGATCTTCCCAACCCAGGGATCAAACCCACATCTTTTGTGTCTCCTGCATCGGCAGGCAGATTCTCTACTGCTGAGTCACTGGGGAAGCCCAAATTGCAAACTTAGATTTAGGACAATCCATTTCTTTTTGTTCATATCAATTCCAGATCGAAACATAAACACACATGAAATATAGAGAAACAGTTTCCCACTGCTTTATATATCAGTATAATTAAATAAAAATGCCCAAATTGCTGCTACCACATATGTCACAGTTGAGTTACATAGTCTTAGAAATTCAATAAATAGATTTTATGACAAAATGAACTGTTTTCAGCCTATGGATTCTCAAAATGGTCACCAGTAAACTTGTCATAATATCTTTTTGCTTCAGTAAAATACATGAAAACAAGTTTTTCAAAGAGAAAAGATAGTGACCTATTCACTTCATTATAATTTAAACTTGCAGGTAAACTCAGTTTCAAAAAACTCATTGACTTGGCAATAGATACTTTTTATTATTTATTTTGTATTTATGGTATTTCATATTCAATACCACCATCTATTTCTCAGAGCCTCATTCCCCTTCTATCATTCTCTCTTGCAATTGTACTTTACCTATCTCTCACCATCGATGCTAACTCTTCTTATGGAGTGCTGTTATATGAATATTGTCAACAAGGCATTCCTACGTCTCCAAAGTAAAATCCAAACCCTTGAGTGATATTCCAAAGTGGCTCCAACATAATTTGTTGTTCCAGTCTTGTTTCAGATATCCCTATATACTCTAATGCTCCAATCACCAATTTCCTGAAGGAAAAAAGATGTCTATTTTCTGCCATTTTATGATCTCCTACGGCAATTTTCCATCTCTCTCCAAACATCATAAAGATCGAGTTTGCCATGTCTCAACTCAATTCCCACTTACTCACAAAGGTTTCCCTAGTTAT